GCATGGAGCTAGAACTGCCACCGTCAACTTCCCGGGCAAGAATACAATGCATTATGGGAAATGTTGTCCCCCACGGAAAACCGCCAAAACGTTACACCATTCTAATTTGAAATAACATTACATATTTGTCACATTCGAAAACTTCTAAAATTACAATTACTTGGATTCGAATCATTTATAACAAACATTCACTGTGCACAAAGTACGAATATATTTCCAGTAAAAAATAAAAAAGAATGTTTATCGAAATTAAATTTAAACAAAACAAAAACACGTTAGACTTACCAAATTTAGGGAAGTTGATGAAAAAAAATAAGGTGGTGGTCGTGGTGGGTTGAAGTTGGGGACTCTTAATCCACACGGGCTGGCCAAATCTTCCCCGCATCAAGTTAAATTCAAGATGGCTGACTCAGCTTTCCTGAAGAAGCGACAAGACTCCACCCACCAGAACGTCACTAATATATGCTTCTTAAACTTTTTGAGCGTTCCAAAAAAATTAGCTAAAAAATACTGAGCCCTATTCAATTAAAGCTGCATAAAAGCCAACAGAGCTCAATACTTTATAGTTTACTCAACTACAAAATGACATTTGAGTGTTATGAGCTTATTAGTTATGAGCTAGAACAACTGTTAGGGATTACAGTGTACCTGATCTTGAGAAAAAAAAAAAAAAAAAAGTAAAGGAATACTTCCATTATCATATTTTGAATCCTAACATCTGTGAGCTTTGTCTCTTCACTGCATGTTGTTTTCAGATGTTCATTCAGCAGCGTCTCTCACAGTGAGTCCTGACAGAGTGCAACACTTCACCTCTGACTCTGTCTCACTGACCTGTGATGGAAATTCCACTGAGTGGAGAGTGAGGAAGACCTCTGAGGAGAGCATACCGTACTCTCGCTGTGGGAGACTGGCTGAATTCACATGTAACATCAACACATCAGTGTCATATACTGCAGTGTACTGGTGTGAGTCTGCATCAGGAGAGTTCAGCAGTGCAGTCAACATCACTGTACAGAGTATGTTATTATACATTTACTTCTTGGATCTGAACGATTTAGATGTCACATGAACATTTGTCACAGCTTTGCTGAATGTGAAGTAATTATTTGTGGCAAAACAAACAAAAATTAAAATCTGAGACAATTTTAGGCACCAAAGCATCAAAATATTCATGATTGTTGGTCTCATTTCACTCGATCTTTTCATAATTCAATTTGTCAAAATTTGAAGACAACAAAGGTGTTTATATTTTCTCTCTTCTATTTAAACTACTAAAAAGCTCAATTGTCATCAAAGTGTTATTCTTAAAGATCATAATGTAAAAATGTGCCGTTGTATCAAAGGTTGTGCTGTGTGTGAGTTCTCCTCAGTGCAGAACCAGTCAGGGAGTTCAGAGCAGCAAACTTTCTTTATTTTACTTGCACTGTTCACAGCTCCATGAACTATTGTGCCCCACCTCTCCTCCTGCAACTATTTTGAAACTACACGTCACTTCTACAGTAGTCACATGTAAAATAGTGCATGTATAATATAGTACGACTCTCATTATTGTATGTCAGCTTTTCTAAAAGTGTGCACCAGCTGATGTGACTGAAACAATTGTGTGTGATTGTGTCACAGATGATGGTAATGGTCCTATCCTGGTGAGTCCTGTTCATCCTGTGACTGAGGGAGCTTCTGTTAGTCTGAGCTGCAGTTTGAGAACACAACAAATACTTTCCAATGTGTTTTTCTATCACAATGACAAACTTATTGAAAATGATCCCCGAGGGGAGCTGAAGATCTCTGCAGTGTCAAAGTCTGATGAAGGTTTCTACAAGTGTCAGTACTCAGGAAGAGAGTCAGCACAGAGCTGGATGTCAGTTAAAGGTGAGCAGGATCAAAACATTTGATGTGTTTCTGTAAATGTCTTATGAAGATTCTCAGTCATCCAGGTCATTGTAGTCTATGGAGCTTGGAAAGAAAAGCGTTTGTACTTCTTTAAGTTGCTTGAAAACGTTTCACCTCTCCTCCGGGAAGCTTCTTCAGTTCTAGGGTCAAATTGTGGTGAGTCCCAGATTTAAGGTCTGTGGAAGAGTCCCCCCCAAGAGGGACATGGAACCTTCATTGATCCTCTACCTAATCACATGAGCCAAAGTGTGAAAATGGATGTAGGTCCATTAGGATGATTTCTGTAAAGGATTTTCATTATCATAAGGAACATTAGATCTAATCTCTTTTAACTTTTGAAGTCTCCTGGATCTATTTTGTGAGAATATTTATAAAATATCCAATATAATTATATTTTATTAATACTTTATTGTCATTAGTCATTACAGTAACTGTGTCAGGAGCTGACAGCTCTTCATCTCCTGTGTGGTTGATGGTTGGACTGGTTTGTGGAGTCTCTCTCATTATTATTCTCCTGCTCTTGTTGTATCGCTGCAGACAGTCCAAGTGTAAGAGCCTCTTCTTTTCATGCTGTATTAGAGAGTTTATTTACTACACACACTTTAATTGTTTATACATATTCATGTATTCTGATCTCATGACACAAAATAACAATTTACATGACAAACATGTGTAATAACATTTGTCTCTTTCACAGATTCCTGCTTCACCAGGTTGGTAAAATACTTTTTATTATAATTTTAAACAAACATCAGTTACTTTTGAGTTTATTGTGTTTATTTCATGTTTTAGGTCGATCCAGTCTGAGAGTCACAGTCCGGGCTCCTCCACAAATCATGGAGTCAACCAGAATGAAACTCATGAATACAACTCTCCTCATTCTGGTCAGCATTTAAACCGATCTTCATTATCATTATTAATATTGACTTTTATTAAACCTTCAGTGACAGTAACAATTCTTAGGTTCAGTTTGTGTTCAGCAGTTTTTCAAAGAACATTTAAAGATCTTACAGTCCTGGTTTTGACTCACACAGTGTTTCTGTTTTTGCTCTGATCTTTAGTGTAACTGTAATAAAATGATTAATGTGACCCTGGCTTCTGTTTTTCTTTAGGTACTGATGACGTCTATGATTCAGTCACACAAGTGAACAGAAATGGTACAGTATATGTGCTGAAAAGAATAGAGCATTTAGAGATGAAATGTATTTTTTTAATGAAACTAATTCCATTTGATATGTTTTTACATCCTGTAAATAAAAATATGAACATTTCAAGAGCAGATGAATACGAGAATGTCACCTCCTCTCTTATTGAGTTTAAAGATCTTGAAACAAACAGTGATCATAGAGTGATCAGAAATTTTTTTCAGTATTAATTTCTTTTTGGATTCATTTGATCATTTTAACAGGGGAGTATGATGAACCCGAGGGGAGTGCTTTTTACATTAATGTGCAGATGTGAGCTGAAGGTACAGTCACAATATTTTCATTCAGTGTTTGTTCTGAAATGTGTTATTTCATTATGTTGCAGATAATTAAAGGTCAATATGGAGTTTAGTTATTCACTTACAAAACTTAGCTACTACACACTACCACTACACATCACCAGAGTTGAATCTTATACATATAAGGCCATTCAGAATTTAGTGAAAGTTTGTATTCTTTGTAAGCAGAATGATATTGTATCATAATTTCATTCTATATGTGACAAATTAAAGAGTTTTGTCATGTTTTTACTCGGAAGTAATGTTCTTGCCATCATCTGGAAAGTTTTCTTACACCTTCTATATACCTGAGGTATATTTGATTAACATGAATTGCAAAAACCCACCCTATTGTTGGTTTTTGCCAGGCCTGGCCTTTCTCATATATGAAAACATACATGAGAAAGCACAACTATTATTTAATTATTTTCTTCTTAATTCAATCACGCTATATAGTGTATTTAGTGAGATGGCAAAAACAGTTAAACACCAAACAAATGAAAAATAAAAACATATTTATCATTCTTTGCAAGCCAGATATTTACTGTATTTACAAGCCAAAGTAATTTATTACAGGCACTATTAGTATCACTGTTTGAATAACTTATATTGTCAGATATATCTGACAACATTGTAGTGATCTCAGAGTGTCACTGCACTAAAAACCATATATTAGTCTGGACCAAAGACAAGTGGATAATAAAACTGCATTTTACTTTAATTACTTCCTTCAATAATATACATGTGAACGTGTCACTCACAAATTTTTGATTAAACTGAACAAAGCATGAGCTCATCTCTGTCTGACAGTCAGTTTCATTTAGTCGAGTAACAGCATTGCAGTACAAAACACACCATAGCTTTAAGTATCCCAGGTGAAGGTAATGAACACCAAAAAAGGGGAGAGGTATTAATGAGTTTTTTTACTGATACAGAAGAAAATAGAGAAGTGTTTCAGCTTCACATGTTTTACACAAAAAAAATCGTCACAACACAAAACACATTACAAATGATAAGTTATGTGTCTGTCTGAGGCCAGATGTACATGAAAGTAAAACCAGATGATTTCCTCCTCCACACAGAGTGTGTCTGCACCTTCTAAACAAATCCTGTAAGGATACAGGTAACTTTACACTCTCTGTAAAGATTCAATCACACAAAACAGAACTTTGCGTTACCTCAAGGGCAGATGATGCTTTTACAATAAACGTTATTGTTCTCCGACAGGAAGTCACAGGTGGGACAGGCATGAGGGGCAGCCAGTGAGCCAACACACATCCTTAAAGCTGATATCCACCAGCTTCTCATGTATGCACCCAGCATTTCCTCAGTCACCTGAGCTCAGAGCTGGATTCTTCATTCCCTCCAACATAAATATAAACCCCCTTTTTCCTCACCACAGAACATCTACAGCTGGGACTCTGTAGTGATAAGTAAAAAATAACAAGTTTAATATGTATTCATGTTGTTGTATATAAAACAAGTTCATTTACGAAATGTATGCAATTATATTTGTGACTTAAGAAATTTTGACTAATGAACATTTGGTTTTCACACCAACAGTTCTGCTTGGTAATGGATTTTTTGCATGTTTTCCATCCTTTGGCTTCCAGTTTTACTGATTTTCTTTAAGTCAAAATGTCTGATTTGTGCTCTCTCAACCACCCCAAATTAATGCTTTTATTAAATTCATCAAACTATTTTTAATTGCACTCTAGTTACAGCTCACTTTACATTCAGCTCACAGTTACAACAGTTATCACTGTCTCAACTGTTAATTCACAATTATCAGTTCTTTGGGTTTTTTCGCCTGTCCTGTTTGGTAATTTAGCAATCAGACTTGTTGTCTGAAAGCCAGGAAAGATGCCAAGCTGATTTATTTTATTTTATTTTAAGTTATTACAACTTGGACAGAGAATTATACTGAAAGGGAGAAAGAGAAAGAAAGAAAGGGAGAAAGAAAACAGAGGGGAAGGGGGGACAGTAAAAGAAGACACTGAGAAAATCCGTTGGATCACCTGTTAAAAGAAGAAAAGAGAAAACAAACAACAAGAGAACAACACAATATAGAGACAACAACCTAGATATGTGCAAGTAACAGTAAATACTAAATATTGAATGTTATTCAGCAGCACGCAGGACTGACAGTGCACAATATGTTCTATGGTCGCAGCCAAGGAAGATATAGTTTGTGTATGTGAGCACCTGTGTTCATGAGCGCGCTTGAGTTCAAAAGGTTTCTCCATGTAAGTGGAGAGCACTGCTAGTGCAATTGACCCTGGTACTTACAACTCTAAGGATGTTTTCACCTGTCTGACTGCTCCAGGCAAAGAAGAGGGGCTCCAGAATTCAAGCTTGAGAAACGACGGCTACCTGGATTGCACAGTACCATCAGCAGTGTTGGGAAGGTTACTTTTAAAATGTATTCCATTACAGAATACAGGATACATGCCCTAAAATGTATTCTGTAACGTATTCCGTTACGTTACTCAATGAGAGTAACGTATTCTGAATACTTTGGATTACTTAACATATTATCATGCTTTTTACAACTACATGAATGTGATTTATT